AAACACCAAAACACAACTTTGTATAAGTACATCAAGCAAGGAAGGATTAAAGTTATAAAAGTACAACTATCTCTTTTAATAGAGTTGTTTAAACATTTGTTTAACAACAAGTAAAAGCTTGGAATGTTCTATTCTTTCATTGGGGGTGTGTCTGTGAGCCATATGAAGAATTAAATTGTGGCAGAATGCTACAAGTTCTTCAAATACCTATAGAATGATAGGTTTTTTTTTGTGAGTGTAAAACACTTAAATGCGCCATTTTGATATAAGTTATAAAAACCAAACATTCATAAAAATAAGTCCAATTATTCAGAGGAAAAACTTGGTTATTGGTTTTTTCCATATGAAATCCTTAAGTTTTCCAAGTGTTTTAAATGCAGTTATCATGAACATGAATTAATTGCTGTTTTTTGGCAACTTGAAAGCTTTACATTTTGGGAGCAAGTTTAAAATACCAAGAGAGAATCAGTTTGAAACTGTACAAATTTGGTCATCTCAACTACAGTATTTCTGCTTTGGATGACATTTTAATATTTATGCTGCTTCTAGTGAAAGAAAAAGTGAGACAAGAATTACTAAATCAAAAGATACGGGAGGCTTAGTTGAAGTAAATAATATAGTATTTTGTACACAATTATGTAGGTAACCCTGACCAATGGTTTGGAATGTGGGATCACCTAGTAAGGATATTTTTGAGTTTTTTGTATTTGATAAAACATCGTAGGTTTTAGCTAGTTTTTTTTTTGTTACAAGTGTTGTTAAAAATTGCTTATGAAAGCTGTAGGTGTAATATTAATACTTATTTTTGTGGATAATTTGTGACAAATTAGGTTCGAGATGGAGTGGAATGGATTGAAACAACTATAAAACTGGGAAACATGCTAAACTTTCTGATATTTCTTCAGCAAGGAAAGTACTGTTTGCTGAGTGAGCGTGTCCTTCATATTCGTAACATGAGCTCTACTGTCCAGCCCTTGCGACAGGTAAATATTAATGTTCTCTTACAAAAACAACATATTTCCTAAGATTCATGCAAGACACATGGTACTCTATTGCTTTAATATATTTTTCTTTCAATCAGAATAATTGTATTTGGAAGAGGGGTTAATTAAGCACTTTCCATTTGTATAATAATATGTAGATCTTATTTTGGGGATTATATTTAGGGTTTCTTATGATACAGAATCCTTAATGTATAAAACATGCTGTGATTAAGTATCATAGTGATTAGATTTTCTCTTTAACAGCCTATTACACTACTAAAGTAATTTTTCAGCTCATTTGATTTAATCATTAACCAATAGAGTTCCTTAACCAGTTGTCTGATTAACAGTAAATCAATTCACCGAAAACCTTAATTTGTTAGAAACATACTTTTAGAAGTACTTAATGGTTTTTTCTTAATAGTTTTATTTTGGAGGGTTTGATTAGTTAATTTAGCAAGAAAATCCTTAAGGAGATCTATTTTGATTGTATAAACCTAAACAGCTAATCAAAGAACTATTTAATGAGTAACTAACCCTAACTGAATGTTTCATTTTTTAAGGTGCAGTATGAGTATATGAATCGTGAACTTTTATGGCATGGATTTGCTGTAAGTGTTACTTTAAGTTCTTGTTAGAGATAATTATTTATTCATTTGTCAAAAAAAGTTGTTTTAGTGTGTTAATAGTTTTGATTTGATTTTATATACAAGCAACTTCACAGATGGCTTAGGTTTCATGTAATTGTTACTTATTGAAATACTTTCCACAAATAAAAGAAACTTGCCATTATGAAGTAAGACAAAAAGGCATTACTTCATTTGTCTTGTATTTCCTTCATTGTAAAAGTTGGATAAATTAATTGTTGTCACCTGATTGAAATAGTTCCAACAAGCTTAAAGGACTTCACATTGTTTGGAAGACATCTTCTGTTCAAAATGACAAACTAAACTTCTATGTTTATAATAAGCTCTAAAATGTTTCTATATATTTATCTGTCTTTTTGTAGTCACTCTTTATATAGTTAAATTAGCTACACCATTGAATGAAATGTAATTTGAAATATAATTTTTGCTATATTTGTCTTCAAAAGTTAAGTTTCAAAACTGTTTCATGGTTTAGGTTTAGTACTAATTTCAAATTTCCCTTCATTATAGGCCTTTCACTGTTGAAATAACTTTTAATTTCAACCTTCCATAACTAGTAAGAATATATCTGTAGCAAAGTATAATCAGGTAATTTTTCTAAATATCTATAAGTGTTCTGTATATAGTTAATGATATTCTTGCAAATCAAATTTTTAAAAGGTTGTAACATGTAATGATCATTTTGCGTAGTTAAAGGTTACAAATGACAAGGGCTGTCATATAAAAGCTTGTAACAGTGACCTTATAACTGTGTCCTCTCCCTGAGTAACAGCAAACGCATCTCAAGGGGTGACACAAGTGCTTGTACAAGTTGGTATGTTAAAAATTGTCTAAAATTATCTTTGAAATTTCCAGAAAAGCATTTTTGTTCATCTAGTCTATTAGCTGGCTACAAAGTATTATTGCCACAAGACTGAAGCAAGTTGGCGATTCACAGGATAAGTTAGTTATTTCATAGTGTGAGGAAAGTTTTATCAGCATGACTTTGTTTGTAAACAAAACTTGGCCATATTTTTTTGTGCAATTGTTAAAAACAAATAATTAGGAAAGACAAAACTTTTTGCATGAAATATATGGTTTTAGAATGATATCTTTGTTTCTTTAGGAATTCTTAACTTTCGTTTTGCCACTCATCAATGTTCATCGCATGAAGAATATATTATGGCGATTTATATTTTCCCGGAAAGAAACTCCTACGTCAGTGGAAACTAGAACTTATGCAGATGCGGCTACCTGTGCTGTTTGTAAGAAATGGCCTATCATACCCCATGATATTGGATGTAGACATGTTTATTGCTATTACTGTATATCTGTAAGTAGCCATATTATTATTATTGGGTGGTTATGAAGAAAGCTACATGTCTAGAGTGGTCATATTCCACAAATTATTCATCCTAAGAAAGCAAAACTCACCAATAGCACAATAGGAATCACAAGTTTAACAAAGGAAAGTCCAGATACAATAGACCAGTTGTGTTTAGATTAAATTGAGATTAATTGAATTCTTCAAATCCTGTGATTTTGTAACTAAAATGAAATTAATTACAAATTCTCGTTCATTTACAGTCATTTTCTTTATGAACAGTATTGCACATGACTTAACTTATTTTCAACAACAATTTTAAACGAAGTAACGATAAATTTCTATTCTCTACAAACAAGTTTTCTTTTTAATTTACAAAATACTGTAATTCTTCATTGGTCAGTTACCTTCATATTCTTATTGTGTTACTATATACTTTTCAAATTATGTTTTTAGAGTAATGTTTTGGCCGAAGAGCAGTTCAGGTGTCCATCCTGTGGTGTTAGGGCCAAGGGAATGAACAGTTTACAACCAGTCAGTGTAATTTCAAATCCATTGCTGACTGGATGAAAGAAGAATTATACACAGTTGGCAACAGAAAATGAAAAGGTTGCATGTATATACATTTGTATTTATTTGTCTTCTCACCATACCCCCCCCCCCAAAAAAAAAAGAAACAAGATGTAAAACTCAACAGAAATCAAAGTAAACAATTTTTCGGCTTGAAAGGTAATGTGTTTTTTTATAAGTAGACATCAAAAATATTTCATTTGTTACATGGATTTTTATCTGCTTTATTGGTGTTGATGTATTAGTGTTGAGTGTCATTGTATATTATATATGACATCAAATAAAAAATACTGTAATTATTATTTTGTTTCACAATAAAAATGATAACGTTACTTAAGATGAACAACACTGTATATTTATAACAGGAAGAGATGCAGATAAACGTTTCGGGAATCTACAGATTCCATCTTCAATATCTAAAGCACAAATACAAAGAATTACATCATTTCTATTTAAATAACTAAAATATATTGCTACATTGATAATAATTTAATCAAAACTAAAACACATAGAAGGTAGAGGAATAACGAACAGAAATACTGTACATATTAAAGAATGTACAATTTAAATTGTGACCCGGCATGGCCAGGTGGTTAGGGTGCTCGACTCGCAATCTGAGGGTCACGGGTTCGAATTCCCGTCACACCAAACATGCTCGCCCTTTCAGCCATGGAGGGAGTTATAATGTTACGGTCAATCCCACTATTCGTTGGTAAAAGAGTAGCCCAAGAGTTGGTGGTGGGTGGTGATGACTATCTGCCTTCCCTTTAGTCTTACACTGCTAAATTAGGGACGGCTAGCGCAGATAGCCCTCGTGCAGCTTTGCGCGAAATTCAAAACAAACCAACAAACAAACAATTTAAATTAAGACTGCATGTTATTCAGGAGTGGAGAATGGTGTTTCATGTGGAGGGTTTCTTTAATCAGTAATTCCAGATCATTGTTTTTCTTATAGACGATATTGCAATTTGATAAGTTGAGTTTGTGTCCTGTTTCTTCACTATGTTGGCATATAGAGGAAACACAGGGGTTACTCAACTTTTTTTGTGTTTTCATGGAAATTCCCATATGTTCATTGACTCTAACTGGTGGATGAGGCCTGGCATGGCCAGGTGGTTAAGGCACTCGACTCACAATCTGAGGGTCGCGGGTTCGAATCCCTGTCACACCAAACATGCTCGCCCTTTCAGCCGTGGGGGCATTATAATGTAATGGTCAATCCCACTATTCGTTGGTAAAAGAGTAGCCCAAGAGTTGGCGGTGGGTGGTGATGACTAGCTGCCTTCCCTCTAGTCTTACACTGCTAAATTAGGGACGGCTAGTGCAGATAGCCCTCGTGTAGCTTTGCGCAAAATTCAAAACAAACAAACAAACAATCTAGTGGATGATGTCCGGTTTTGCCAACATAGGAGGCCTTACAGTCTTCAAATGTGTAAATATGTATACAAAGGGAAATTGGGAGAAGGTCTTTAGTACGAAAATTGTTTTAATTTTTATGCCAAGATATATTAGTTATTATTAAGGCAATAAAGATTTACTGGATAACATTTTTATTTGGTTTATAGAGGTCAAAATCATTTAATAAAAACTTAAAAGAATTGTGCCTAAAGTTTTGTTTTCTGTCTTTCAGGCTGCAGGTTGAAAAATAATTAATTTTGAAAGTAAAAGTTTAAAGTGACAGTCAATCCCACTATTTATTTGGTAAAAGAGTAGCCCAAGAGTTGGCGGTGGGTGATTATGACTAGCTGCCTTCTCTCTAATCTTTCGTTGATAAATTAGGGGTGGCTAGTGCAAATACTCCCTCGTGTAGCTTTGCGTGAAATTCTAAACAAACAAACCAAATCCGGACCTTTTTTCATGGACACTGTTGTTGTCAAACCATTTAGAACACTTTATTTTCTTCATTTTTATATAGAACTGGAATGTACATATGTCACAAGTCATTTCAACTGACTTTTGTTTCTAATGATCCTGAAATCAGGGGGGACATTAATATTACTTAATAACAGCTCTCAGCTTTTTTTTTTCATTACAACACCAGTGGAATGTTGTAGTAACATCAAATGTTAGTAAAAAAATAAAAATTAAACTTCTCAAATTCCTTTTTAACAAAAGTGAAGTGTTTAAGTCTACAAGTGTAGGTTATGTAAGAATGAGAAATATCCACTAATAAAATTTTCCATTACTACTCGATAGAATTTTCATGGTTGTACGTAGTAGCTCAGTTGTGTTTGGTAGGATAATGATCAAATTATTAAAATATATAGCATTTTAGTGTGTGTATGTAAAAGGAATTAGTTATAACAATGTGTGTATATATATCATTAACTGAATGTGTTAAATGAACTATAATACTGAATTTACCATGTGTATTTTCAAGAAATATGGCAAGCTATTAGTAAACAGTACAAATCTGATGTACTCAAAAACTTGAATGTGTTAATAAAGTATTTGTATTAGAGATATGTCCGTGAATTGATGAAGCTCTGACTTTGATTTGGACTCTGACAAGTCATGGTTCAAGGTGGTGTTTATGTGAAGAATATACCATTTTAAAGTTTTCTTATTGCATTTACAAAACCTCTATGACTTCCTAAATGCATATCTAAAGTTGTTTCTAGCATTCATGTATATTGTTCTGGTATTTTCTCTATTCTAACACGAACGTTCGTGAAATCAGCAAGTTGGGTAAAATGGAAAATTGATATCTCTGATATCAAATACCCAATACTGTATAAAATGGGTCTCTGCATAGGGTTAAAACAAATCATTTAGCTGGAATAGGTTCTTTTAACTCTTATACTGAAGTCTTAGAAATTGTTTAAATGAAAAAATTGCTATAATTTTAGTTTTTAGTTTTCATGTACCAGGCATATTTACTTTGATTTTGGTAACATTTACCTAAGTTGGGATATTGTACTAAATAGTTTTTAATGCTGCAGTTCTAATTTGATTTGGATAAAGAAGGTTTGTACCTAATCCTAATTAAATATCCTTGTTTTTAATAAATTCTGATATTTTTTAAAAATTTGACTTGCTTAGTCTTTTCTATCATAACCAAATAAGTATCTTAATTCTGTTAATATTTTATTAATGTGATATATTGCTTTAAATATTAATCATTCACTACTTTACTTTCAAATTTCACATCCTTTTGATGACATTATGTGTGAATTTCAAACATCTGTCAAATACTGTTGCTTTCTCAAACTAATTTTTAAAGAATATTTATATGAACTTCAAATGGTAGTCATATTCTTGAAAGTGTATGCATTAGCATGTTTAGTTTTACTTGTAATTCCATTGAAAGTTGAGAGTTTATTCCTTGTTTTAAGAAGCAAATTTCAAATAGCCTAGTATTAAACCCCTTAATTACGGACTTTTTTATACTGGGGAGGACCACATATTGTTGCATCATGTTGAATAGTTTTATGTTGTTGGTGTAAAAAACTTACCAAACATATTAGTTGAAACCCTCTTTTTTTTTCAGTGTAAGATACATAGGAAACCCTCATAGTAATTAGTGGGTTTTGGTTGTTTTTTAGTGACTCATATTGTTGTAAACTGTATTTTTAATGTAAATGTTTGTTTGATAGAAGGAGCTTGCCACGACAAAATGATGATGCAACATCTAGAAGATTCCAGCAGTATTTAGAAAATGTGTACAATATAAGAATACTAGAATTAGTTTTAACCAGTTCAGTGCCAGTTAATGAGTTAAACAATGAAAGTTAGGATGTCTGTTCCTCAATGGTCGAGTTAATAAGTTAGTATGTTTGTTATTGGTTGATCAGTGTAAAAATTCTGAAAATAAGTTAAGCATATATTAGTCTTGGAGTTTCTGTTGAAACTTTATTTGTGAACTTAGGCCTACCAGTGAACATAGCCTGTTGCAAGCATCATTAAAGAAATGAATTAATTCCTTATCATTAAGTAGACTGGACTACAAGCAAACGTAACCTGTATAGAACTTAATTGTAGAAATAAGTTAACTCGTTATCATTAAGTGGACTGAATTTTGGCATTATTCTTACCAGATAATCCAAAAGAACCTATTCAACAATATAACATGTTACAACATTTATGTTAAAGGTGGTTGAAAATACAACTTTGACTAAATTTCAAAATGACAACATGAGTACAAAGCAAGATTGAAAATTTGCTGGGGATGATGAAACAGTAAAAAGAAGAATATGCATAGACAGACAGAGCAAAAGGTGAAGATCAAGAAGATAGACAATTAAATGAAGAACAACAAATAAGAGACAAAGATTTAGAAGAATGAGACTGAAAATTAAAGAGATCAAGAAGAGATTAATAAACGATAAAAAAAAGATCAAGAGGTAAAATATAGGAATTAAGAAAATAATTAAAAGATATAGACATAATATTTACAGAACAATTAAGGACAAAAATGAATCTGATTGAAGACAAAATAGATGAAGCTGTTGGAGATGTTCAGAGGGATTACAACAATATGATTGAAGAAATTAAGAAAGATTATAACAGCAAGATCAGTGAGGTAGAAAAGAACATTCGGAACGTTAACTGATAAATAAAAAGGTCAAACCAACCATACCTCTTTCTGCATCTTTCAAGAATTCCAAATTAAGATACGATTTACTATAAATTTTGTAGTAGGAGAACCTATTTGGTCTACTCCTGTTTTACCATTTGTGAATGTAAGATATTTCTGATCTTCTTAAGCCATGACACTACCAAATCCAGTTCCAGATATTAGCATGTCCTATTGAGAAACCAATGGACTATGATGGTAAGGTACTATGGAAGGTATATCAGGCTTAGTTTGAAACCATTTTCAAAGTGACCAGGTGGAATAGTGAAAAACAAGCTATTTATATTGCTACCCATTCAAAAGGACCAGCTTTAATGACTTTAAGCAACCTTCCAGCTCAGAGCTGTAACAAATATCAAACATTGGTAACTGCCTTATCCAACAGGTTCAGAGTAACACACTAAAATGGAGTATCAAGAGCAAAGTTCAGGAGCAGAGTATGGAGGAAAGAAAAGACCATTGCCAAACTTGCGGAAGATTTGGAAACACTTATTCAATTATCTTGCCGGGTTTCTCCACATGAAGTGATGTATTTGTTGGCACATGAACAATTCATAGATGCCATAATAGACAAAGTTTAGTAAATTAGGCTGAAGCAAAGTAGATGTACATTTTTAAAGGAAGCTCTCGAGTTGGGGATGGAACTTGAATCCATTAAAGTCATAGATAAAAACTAAAAGCACCATCTAGAAGTTATATGATCATCATTTCAAGTAGCATTGAAAC